TTTTCGTTCGTAAATGCCGACCAAACCTCGAGTGCCTTTAATTATTCATTCCTTGTGTGACCCATTAGTTGGGAGCATGAGACTATGCTCCCTCATTAAGTGCCCAATGGTTTAGGCCCAAAATCGCATGGAAACCCTCCATTGAAATCAAATTTCCCGCTTCCTGTCCTGCGTCTGTCATATTAATTAGCCATCCCACATCGAATGGCAGTCCGCCCCTAAACTAAAAACTAATTAAAAGCCGTGTCATTGGAAAGCGCGGACGTCGGGGCATCAAGCTTTTCCCAAATTCGGTGCTAATCGAATTGTTGAAACGCAATGAAACGAATGTCATTGAGGGCCGAAAGAGTCTAAAAGGACCACCCGCAACCCCTTCCATCGCGGCTATTCAATTCATATTCATTCCGGCCATCAAATGACGGCAAATGACAGCGAACAATGAAATCAAATTAAAATACACTTTAACGCCGCGTCGAGTGAATGACAATCAAAGGCTAAACAATGGAATGCCACCGAATCGATGCAAAAACATTCGGCCCGGATGGCTGAAACGATTTTGAATGCTCGCAGTTTTTATTGCCGAGTGACAGCCGTAAGGAAAATGCCATCAATTTTCCCGAAAATCCCACCATGAAGGCTTCAAGTGCTGCGTGCTGTGCGAGTAATTAAATTCTGACATCTCGAATGTTCATATAAGTAAGCTTAATTTGCTCATGTGCCAGCTTTATGACTTCATGGAGCAGTTAAATATGAAGCGGAATTGAAGGGCGTAAATCTGACTAAGGTCAGTGTAATGTTCATTATATGTTTGGCAAGAATGTAGGAATGGAAAAAGTATAAAATAAGGAATAGTCAATCTATCATAGATTATAAATATGGATCTAGATTATGTATTTATCTTCTAAAATTGTTATTTATTATTTTGTGTAGACAATCTGTATTTAAATTATAGTATACAGAACCACTTTCTTGGTGAGTTAGATATTGTTAAAGCTATTATAATCAGTGTTTGTGTCAATGAGTTCATCTTCTTTGCTCAGTGCACTAAGCAACCATATCCTGTCCCCTGTTCCAATGGATTTTTGTACTTAAAACAAACAACTCTGCCAAAAGAAATCAAGGCTGCCAGCTCTCTCCAGTTTCATTAGCCATGTTAAGTAAACAAGCACGCCCGCAAGCAGAGGCTCTTCGACAGGATTCGGAATCCTGGATTCTAGATCTCCAGCATTCGTGCCACTAAGCGGCTTAGTGAAAGTCCTTTGCCAAAGAAGAAAAGCAGCGGCAGGGAGTATCTGCATGTGGGAGTCTTTTTCTGCGAGGGAACTTGAGATGATGAAAGTCACTTCGGTGTTTAAATAACTTTGACGCGCTTTCTGTGTGCACACACATACAGAAACATACACACATCCTGAGTGGCATTTCCGGTCGTAATGGCGAACACATTGCCAGCGAAAACTTTGATGACGTGGGCTTGAGCTCAACGTGCCGAAAAGAAATTTGACTTCATGGAAAAAGGGGCAACTTGGGAATGCTGGGAGTTTGTCTGTGTGCGTGTATGTCTGAGTTTTGGAGCTTAGCTCGTTACAATTTAGACCCATTGCCAACTTTGGCGCAACCCAAAAAGCGACTCTCCAATTTACGTCGACCAACTTTTCAAGTTGCGCGATACAATTTGTCTCGCCTTATTTTTCGGGGCCAAATTGCTGCAATTATCATTTGGCATTTTGGCTTGCGAATCCCAGCGCTAATGAGGCGTCTGGGGCGCTATTGAATGCATTGAACCACAGCGCTGCAGCGGCCAAAACGCCCTCGCATATGCAACACAATTTAAAGCCACACGCACACAAATGCAATTTGAGTGCGTGTGCATCTGCACTTCCCTTTCCGCTGCGTCATTGCAATGCCATTTGGAAAACTTCGTGAGGGGGGAAAATCAAAGGAAACATAGAAAACAAAAAGTGAGTGACATGCACAGCGACTAAAAATGTAAGCATATATTTTGGAAGTTGTTCAAAAGTATTCCTTACTTATATGCAAGACTGTCTAAGTTACATTGGCAATGCCAAGAGATATGGGCATTGAAAGTGGTGCAAAAGTCTCTCTAGTTTCTCTCTGTGTACCACAAGTCAAGCTCCATTCCGACTCGCCACAGAGAGCTTCTGCGGATGAGCGAAGGAGCGAAGGAGCCAGTGGCGGCGCAATGATGATAAAGACGATGATGACTACCGACAGTGCCAACACACACAGCAGCAACAGTAACGACAACTGACACCAGCCGTTGGTTGCAAGAATTCTCAAGTCCTGCCACACTTTTTGTGTGCAACTATTTTGCATATGTGAAGGCGGAGGGCGTAAAACGTGGGGTTACTAAAGTCACGGTGGGTGGGTAGGTTAAAAGGGGAGCCCAGTGCTTGACGAAAGTTGATATCGACGCCATCCCTTTGAGATCCATTAAAGCGGCAGCAGGCTCCATATCCATCTTCTGGCTCGTAAACAGATATGGGGATGGCTATATCTGGGTTGATAAGCCACTGCAGTGATGTGATGGATAAAAATGGGGAAAAAACAGCTTCTGTTTACGCTCTCTGCTCGTGAAGAATCGCAGCCAATAGCTTTGACATTTTTAGGGGGAAGCCATCTAAGCGAAAATGTTTTGCTTTAAGACAACGCATTTGGCCGGATAGAGCTGGCCCATTAAAACTTATGACCAATTTAATGCACGACTAGACAACGTCCAGATTTCCAAACCCTGCCGGGGGAATTACTTTAGCACTGCATTTTGTGGCGAAATTCACTGACGCCAGACATTGTAATGGCCAAATTGCAGGACAGGATTGGCAGGAGTGGCGCAGTGGTCCTCGGCCATCAAATTGCTGAAAACATCCTGCTGACCTCGCTACAGTCGCCACTGGCTTATTGGTTTCAGCGGAAAGTGTTCTATATATTCTAAAGCTACATTATATACTTAGGATTTATTATTATTATTACTTTGTAATATATATATTTATCAAAAGCCATATTAGTAGTAAACTTTTTTCATGAAAAATGCATCAACTTAGTTAAAACCAAACTATAATATTAATATAGTATATTAAATAATTTTTATGCAGGTCTATGAAATTTGCATATACTCGTATTAGATTAAAAACAGGAGTTGACTGTCGACAGCGGGAATTTTCAATTTTGTCGGCACAGATTTTTTGGCATACAGTTGCCATATTGTACATATTTGGCATATGTAAAGACATTTCATTAAAACTTCACTATTTTCAACAGATTAAAAAATATTCCGAAAACATTTGCACATGATTGAATCAGTTATTCGTTCAGAACCACATAAGCCGTCTAATTTATCTTAGGAATAATCTTATTGTCTATTGACATCTATTGCCACATTCCATTAAAAATACACCATTTTCAACAGATTAAAAAATATTCCGAAAACATTTGCACATGATTGAATCAGTTATTCGTTTAGAACCACATAGTCGTCTAATTTATGTTAGGAATAATCCTATGATATGAAAACACACCCAAAGGCAATTTGTGAAAAAGTTTATTGAAACTGACTTAACTGCACTTGCTCGTTGGTGAGATCACCAAAAACGGTCCCCAGAACTCCCAGGAAGCAACCAGAACACTCGATTCCAAATAAACCGCTGCTGTTTTTGTGTTCCCTGGTGCAACAAGCTGACTGCGAAAAACATGGGCATCAGTTTCCGTCTGGTTGCCGGCGTCATCTGCTGTCTGCTGACGCCACTGAATTTCTGAACTGAATCTGTCCCCGGGAATTCATTTCCCCCAGAGAAACCTCCATTGAACCCCAGCCAGTGCCTCGTCTGCACCATGTCTGGGCATCTAATTTAAATTATGCAACTACTTTTATTTTTTCCATTTACATTTCCACTTTTCTGGTCTTCTGCAATTTTCGCTCTCGCTGCCCGAATGTTATAATTTCCCAGTAGTGGTGCTCATTTACTAGCTGTTTGGGCAGTGTTTTGGGGTCATGCGTGGCAAGGCCCCCGAACAACATTCATAAATCATTGGCAGAGGTGGCGAAACAGAGCAGAGCCGCTGTTGTTTTTCTACTCATCATTATCACTGGCAAGCTGGCAAGCTGCAATCGACAGCCCCAGGAAAAGCCCTTTTTCGTAGAAAAGCCCGGAGCAACGTTGCACTGAAAACACATTAATCAATTCCGACCGACTTGCGGACCAGCCAGACCGCCCTGCATATACATATATTCATTGTGTAGAGTGGATAGTGGAAAAGTCGGGGAAACAAGGACAAAATAAAACCGTTACACGCCCAGCGAGCGCAACAACACGAAAAAGGAAAATCATGGAAACTACTCGTAACTTTCCATAATGTGCAACGCGCGTGAAAATTCGTCCTCGGCCCTGCGTGGAAAAACGCGAGTAAGTCGCAGTGAAACCGAAAAATAAAACCAAAAATTAAGGGTTGCCTGTGCAAAAAAGCCAAAAACATAAGGATAAATTGTTTACGCTGCAAGTATTTATGGTTTTCACTGGTCAAAGGCTGGGCCGCATCGCGCGAATTTATTCCAGTGTTCGAATACTACTATATACTACTATATGGTATAAAATATATTATATTCTCGTATGCGCAGCGATAAATATTTGCCCATAAATTTGGCGTGTAATCGGGCAGCGAGGCGTGTGGAAATTCGTTTGCCGCAGGCATTTGAATATTTTAAAATATTTCACTGAAGACCCTTGATTGTTGAACTCTATGCGCAGAATTTAATTAAATATTATGCTGTGCTAAAGCGATTAGACCATGCCACATAATTGTTAATTTGTGTGCAAATAAGGTGTGCATTTCATATTTGTGAATAAGGCATTGAATTAGTTTAAAATTCATTATTATTATCTATATTCCAGAATTTACAAATATTTGACCATTAACTGTTTTTCTTATCACAAAACATAAGGCTATAGAATACTAAGAACATCTTTTATTTCTTGCATCTTTTTCAGACACAACAGTAATGACATTGAAATGGCGCCAGAAATACAAAAGCAGAAAAAGGCCAAAGAAACTAAGACAACGAATAATCGCAACAAACACTGCCCCAGCAAAAGCAACAACAACAACACCAAGCCATAAAGCAACAACAAAAGCAACCAGCAGACTGAGAGAAACAAGATGCAAGCTGAGGAGGCACAAGAAATGTCTGCCAACTGAACGACACAGAAATGTGGCTAAAATGCTGCTGAAAGTGTCGACAAATGCCACACAATGTCGCGCAATTAAAGCAACAAACACACCAGCTACAAACACAATGACTTCCAGCTGCAGCGAACATTGTCAGTCGCAACAGCAGCAGCAGCAGCAGCAGCATCACCAGTTGCAACATCAACAGCGGCGACATCCACTTCCGGCGACGCTGACGTTGCTCCTCTGCCTGGGAATCAGTTTGGGCATGGCTGCCACAGCAGCAGCCGCCGGCGGAGGAGGAGCAGCACCCGGTTCCGGATCCGGAGCAGCTGGCTTCCCATCCAGCTCCAGCTCCTTGGGACCCGGCAAACCCGCCAATCTGCAACTGGCACCCGGCTCCTCCGCGACGGGCTGCTCCCTCGCCGAATTCAGCTGCTCCAACGGAAGATGCGTGCCACTCAGCAAGTACTGCAACAATCTGAACGACTGCGGCGATGGGAGTGACGAGCCGCGATTTTGTACACGTAAGTGAAGTGGGAATCAAATCTTGAAGCAACCAACTCACTTAGGTTCATGGTTAAAATTAAAGTTCAATATAGAGACTTCAAAAATATCATAAATTAATTGTCATATTAATTAGTTTAAAGATATTTGCACATATTTTCTGACAGTGTAGCAAGGGTGAAAAGCTGAGTAATGGAGCGAAGGCACCATAACAATGTGTCGAAGGTAATTATGTAAAGCGGAGCATAATGAGAGGCAACCCGAAACGAGCTGCAAAAGTATTGTTTGTTCAATATACCAGGCAATCGATGTGGGAAGGGTGCGTAATTGAAAGAGTCGGGTACATCAACTATGCAACGAGGCAGAGGCAATGTTCTTGTCAAGTTTGATTTTAGGTGAAAGCACTGACACACAAGTCTTTGCTGAAATTGTCCGCTTAGCACAGAAATATTCAGCTGAATTGTATTGAATTTAATACGTATACGCCACGTTGACCATTTTGTTTCTTATACCCGCTATTACTTGGCACGTTTCTATGCGCCTTTGGAGCCCCAACCTGGAATTTTCATGTGCAGCATTAAGCGAAGAAGGTCGGAGATCCCCCGCCAAATCGATTGGTGTGGCTTCCGCCTGCAATCCCCATGGCGGACAGGCAGGTGCGATCCTGGAAGCATTCAAGCTTGTCAAGCCCCATAACCGTCCGGCAATCATCTCCCTCCGCTGCATCCATTCACTGGCCGCTCTTGTAAACACGGCCTTCATGTGTAAATGTAATTAAGCACTCCCCGCGCGCACATGGAGCACCACACTGATTGGCAACCATCCCAATGAGCCACCCATTTCGCTCCCCATTGGCCCTCATAATGGCGGAGAAGTGAACTTCTCACTTTTGCCAATTGGCTGCCAGCAAGCCCCATCATTTTCGTCCTCCCGCTTCTTCCGGGATGTCCTGCTCCTGCTCCTGCTGCTGCTGCTGCTGCTGCTGCAGGGCGCGCCATGTCAAGCGTTGATGAATTTAATTAAGTATTTTTCAATGACATCCAATGAGACGGGTGACCCAAGTGGGCGGCATCGCTGTGATGAACAGGGACAGAGCAGCTCGTGGCGCTTTTAATCGAACAACGAGCTTATCGACTGGATCCCATATATGTTTGCACTTGTTTGTTGAAGCCAAATGACAGCAAATTATGGTCCAGTCGTGCTGGGTATACCAGATAGACTGAAAAATGTGTTACAGGTAGAACGAAGAGTTACCGACCCTATAAAGTATACATATTATATGGTCGATTGCTATCTATACGTTCGCATGAACTAATAAAGCTAGAATGTTGAAAGGCGAGGATTGATGGGCGAGGATATCTGTTGGTTTATCTGGAAACTGTAGGAAAACTGCTTTAAAATTGCCAAAACCTCAAATCAATAATTCTTCAAAACTGCACAAAAAAGTGCAAGGCCTTCAAAATACTGCTTTCAGTGCGAGAAAACAGTTTTGCAATAATTCTTTTGCTTAATTACCAAAAAGTTAAATTAAATGGTACTGATTCCCATCTGCCATCTAAAAACTATGAATTAATGGTTATTGCCAGCGATTAGTTATTATTGCACTGGCAATTATAGGCACACCCTCGCCAGATGGAAAATGGCTTTCATGCATGTCAGATAGAATGACAGAATGATAGACTGACAAACTGGCAATCAGGCAGGCAATCAAACAGGAGCACGCCTACAGCGATCGAAATTGATTTCCCAGCAATCCTATAATTATCTAATTGACTATTGATGGCTGAGCGCATAATAAACTTGATTGAATGCCCAGAAAGCAATTAGAGCACAGCAACTAGCAACACTTGAGCAATTTATTTCGAATTGAATTATTTTATCCGGGGGCTGTCTCTCTGTCTGATTCATATGCATTTTTAATAAAACTAATTGAAGCGCCAGAGGAAAAGGGATGCATTCTAAAGGGAACCAAAAGAAATTGCCAATTTCCATGCAAACTACTTTTGCTATGACTCTCACTTCGTTTTTGGAGACAACTACAAAGGGCAGGACTTATTTCCATATATGCAAATGCAAACAAGCATAAATCATTCCGGTTTGTGGTCATTCAATTATGAAAAGGATTTCCGAATTGGAATACGTAATCGAGGGAAAGCTGGGAAAACAGTTGCTATATTTTCAGTTCGCAAGGCGTAAACAATTCGATTGAAAAGTTCTCAAAATATAGCTCAACAAAAATAATATGGAAACTTGCACTTGAGAACACAGTTTTCAAGAAAGCTTCTTTTGCCAGTTTTTCTAGCTCAATCAACTTCATTTCTATATGCGAGTAGAAAGTTTTAGAAAGTTTTGATATAAAAGGAGTAACAATAATGGGAAGCTTCCAATATTTAAGTAAAAATAAAGTCTAACAGCTAATTAAATGTATTTAAAATACTTCTCAAAATTAGAGCTATATGTATTCAGCATAAATGGATCTCGATTGCATCCGAAGTTAATGTGCAGTAAACTAAATACTTAGACAAGAGCAATGAAACCAAATCAACGTAGCATGTAACATGTAGTCCTTGAGATAAAGTTGACTGAATTTGCCACAAATTGTGTGGCAAACATTTTGCACCCTCCTCCGAAATGTGAATACATTAAAAGCTAAGTACCTTAAATTATTCACGCAAATGGATTAGTTTACTTTGCGTTTCAATCAGCTTGCATATGAAGCTAATGTTATGTTAATTTGATACATTGTGTTAGCATCTGCCTGGTCTGCCGATAATTTATGGCGTGACGAATGCCATTCCCCACGGCCTAGTCGTGGTGATAATCGGGGACTTTGCTCCTCGCCTTTTGGGGTTCTGGGGGCAGCGTGGCATCGCTAATTGCATTTAATATATATATTTGCAGGCTGCAATCGCACCTACTACGGAGACATTGGACAGACCTACTCCCTGGAGTTGCACCGCCCCAAGCAGGATCGCGTGCCCTTTGTGTGTGTGCTCACCTTTACGGCGGCAGGTGGACAGCACGGCGATGTGGTGCAGGTGAGTCGAGTCGAGTGGGGCACCAAGGATGCCAGTATGATTTACATGGACTTTTAAGGGGTCTACGAGCGTGCAGCAACATATTTGTGGTCAATGAGTCCAGTGGAACAGTTCTTACAGCTTTTCTTGTTATTACTGCATACTTCTAGTGCTTCAAAACCTTAAACAATTGAAACACATTTTGAACACTTGTCGATATATATATAATATAAAATATAATATTATATAATATATAATATTATATAATATATAATATGTATAGAATATATTAGAAATGTATTAATATGAAAGTACCACGTTTCCTTGCAAGTACTGAAAATATTTTAATTATATTGAAAAAGAAACTAGCCTTTGTACAAAATGATGATGCCATTTATGTTATCGCGCTATTTGAATTTCTCTCAGTGCACCAGGGCTGGCAGAGGTGAAGGGGGACCTCTCTGCATTCGCCATTATAATATATCGATATATATAATAGAAAATATAATATGATATATGTATAATATATATAAAATATATTATATTATTATTATATTAATATGAAAAATCCACGTTGCCTTGCAAGTATTGAAAATATTTTAATTCTATTGAAAAAGAAACTACCCTTTGTACAAAATGATGATGCCATTTATATTTATAGCGTTACTTGAATTTCTCTCAGTGCACCAGGGCTGGCAGAGGTGAAGGGGGACCCCTCTGCATTCGCCATTGCCTTTCACATTTCATTTTGTAACGGGATAAACTACGCCATTAAAAGATAAGCAATAACAAAGGCGTGTCAGAGGTCGGGTGGTGGGGATTGGGGCCACGATGGGTGGTGGGCAGTGGGGTGGTAGGGCAGAAGCCATATTGATTTCAAAGCCATTCGCCGGAGCGTAGCAAATCCGGCACAACTCCCCTATTTCGGGGGGGTGGGGCGGCGGGAGCAAGTGCCGGCGCCTGTTAGTTATTACGCCACTTCACACCTCCAATTGGAATAAGGGATGCTGCAGGAGCCGAGGTGGAGGAGCACCCGGCGTTGAGCCAAAGCCGAGCCCTTGGCATGCTCGAGTGCGTCCCAAGAGCATTCGGCACTGATATGGACTGAGCTACGAGCTCTGACCGAAACTTTATTACTGACACCCCCTTCGGCGCATCCGGCGAACATTTTTTCCCAGCAGAGGACTATATAGACTGGATTCGGGCAGGGTCATGCAATCGGGAGTCCTAGAAGCGTTTCTCCTCCCCCAATCGTTCAGCTAACTGTTAATGGATACATGGCTATCATTGAAAAATAACAGAAGTAGTTTCATGTCAGAGAACTAAAAAGATAGCCAAAACAATAGACTTTAATAATTTGTATTTATAATTATTTAATATTAAAGCATTCCAAAATTAAATTTATAATTTACATGATAAATCTGGCAGCATGTATCGTTAATGCTCCTAATGTGACTCTATGATATAATTAAGCTAGTACCATAACCCTAATGGTCATTTGGCCACCCCACAGTAGAGAGCCCACAACACAGCTCACACGTTTATTGTGCGAATCGCCCTAGGTCACCCTGGACAGCTTCACGATTGGCCGGTTCACCTCGTACGTCCATGAGGGCTGTCCGGACGGATACATGCAGATAGCGGAGTCGGCACGGACGCCCATCGGCGGAATGTGGTGTGGCAGCTCCTGGGGACCAGTGCTCTTCTACAGCGAAACCCGCTCGCTGATATTCACCATTCGGCTGAACAGGTGCGTCCCGAGTCTGGTGCATAATTTACCCACCCGATTCATGTCTATAAATACAACCCACAGGCTGGCGAGGGATCAGAGTGGCTACAACTTCGACTTTCGCATCAGATACAAGGTTCTGTCCAGGGACAGTTCGGTGACCCGCTACGGGGGCATTAAGCTGGCAGGTGCGTGCGCCCGCTGGGACTGGAGTCGATTCCAAATCCCTACTCCAAATCCTCCCGTTTTCTGTTTCCCGTTCTAGAGCTGGCGCAGTGGCACAACCGCAGTAGCTTTCTCAATCAGCAGCAGCAACAGCAGCAGCAGCAACAAGGTGCTCCTGGTATCCTGGAGGATTTTACCAACTCCAGCGGAGCCCGTTCGGACCGGTATGGCCAGGACTTTAGTCTTTTCAGCGCCTATGCCAACAACAAGACTTTCATGGCCTCACTGGAGAAATCCTTGGCCAAGGACGAGCAGAACTATACGGAGCCCAAGTACTATCTGGGTAAGTTGGCAAGAGAGGCTTGGAATAATCTTTGGATTGTATAGCTTAAGACTGATCAAATCCAATGGCTTTCAGTCAGTGGATGAGCACCATATACGTAATTGTGGATGCTATAAGCAATCCCAACTAGGCTATCTTTCAAGAAACCTGCATTTCAAAGTACTACTCATACATTTATTTTAACATAATTTATTTTTGGGTTATGGAAAGAACTGTTTAAATGGAAAAATTAATCTCCTCCACACGTCTATACTCTGGACATTTCCCCACTGCCGACTGTCCTTAATGACTAATTGAATATTATTTCTGGCTGGGACATCTGCTTCCCGCCTTGCAGGTGACCTCATACCCGGAACATATTGCTCCAGGATCTTCAGCGACTGCGACAAGAAGCCGTGTCGCCTGCAGTCGCCCAACTTCCCAGGCATCTATCCACGCAACCTCACCTGCTACTACGCTGTGCGACAGGTGAGCAGAGAATAATTAAAACGAAATTAAACTCCTGCCAGGAAGTCTAATGTTCCGGGGCTACAAGCCGTGCCAGGTCAAAAGGTTAGGCACCCCTTACAAACACAGGGTTTAGCGGACTGTTTTCTGCCTCCTGGGTCATAAAAATACTCGCAGCCTTATTTTTATTCATGACACAGCAAAGTTCAAAAATCAAGGGGGCTAGGCAAAAAAAATTAAATGGCAATTTACATTCCAAAATAGAATGGGCTTTTATTATAATTAACTGGAGGAGCAGAGACTGCCGTCTGAAGCGTCCCAGCCTCCTTGGAATTTTTAATATGTGGCAGGACGACTCGTTGCCATGGGCAATCCACTGTTAAAGGTCTCACATACTGTGGAAGTCCTTTTAAAATTACAAATTGTTTACAGGCTGCCCTCCTTTGTGTCATTGAACTTAGTGCGGCAAAATTGGCTTGCACAATAATGACTGAGCTTTTAAGGTATTAAGAAGGGAGAAATAGCATTTAAAGGAGCCGTACTATAACGAACAAGTTGCAATTGAATAAAAACCATCTTATGCTCCACCGATTATAATAGGAATATAAAACATAAGAGGAAGTAAGAACATTCAAAACATTATTAAGAATGACCGTTTATGTAGAACAGGTTTAAGATTAGCCATCTAAGCGCACTGTTTTAAAATAAAAATAATTCTTACAAGTGGTATTATTTTAAAGACATTTTGCCTTCTGCGTGCGCCGCATAAATTACCCATTTGAGTACGAAAAAATGTAAGGCACAAAGATCAATCACGATTTACAACACCGACCAGAAAATTGCGTAATTTAAATGCTCCAATTAATCCTCTCATTCCGACTGCTATTCCGAACCCCACAAAAGGAATGGCGCTGTCAAACAAAACATTCTGCGCGCTGCGGCTCATTAATTTGCATTTAATTCTCCTGTCCACACAGCACGACGTGCCCCATGGCAAACACGCCCTGATTCTAGTCAAACAGCCCAAGGGCAATCTGGTCTGGATTTCCACCCAGGAAACGGCCGCGGCGAACAAAATGGCACCGCCGCCGAGTGCCAGCGACAAGGATAAGAAATTCGAGCCGAGGCTGAAAACATGGAATGACTGCGACTACATTCAGGTAATTAAATCTGCCTTTAAATGCACTTTGCTCCTCCTTTTCTCTATCTATCTGTATCTGTATCTGTATCTGCATCTGTATCTGTATCTGAAGCCGAGTACATCTCGCCTTTATCCCCTATCTATATCTGTAAATGTCCCTGCGATGAACTCCTCTGTGTTTGCATTTGCCAACTTTAACGAGGGGGTCCAGCATAAAAATTACTTCCTCTGTTGGCCGGTGGCCGGCAAACGCGGCCAATGGAAATATACGGAGGGAGTGGTTGGGTGGAAAACTGGTGGAAAAACTGCGCAAAAAACGACAAATTGAAAAGGAAATGAGCAAAAATCTGAAATCAGTTGTTTGCACTCCCCTCTCCATTGCGACCGCACCCTGCGTACTTTTCCTCTGCTCTTCCACTGTCATAGCCCCGGCATTGTGTCTTCCGATGGCCATGTCCTCATCCGAGTCCAGGACGAACTCCACCGTCCGACATTGCCTTGAGCACTCGATAGGCTCCTCTGGCCAGTCGCGGGAAGTGTTAATTTCGTAGCGTTTCTTTTTGTTTATCTTCGGGCAGGCAGAGCGGGAATGGAACTCGTCCTGGACGGGGCGTCCTGTCCACGAAGCCTACGACTTAAAAGGGACAACTTTTGGATGAGCTCTTAATGAGCGTTGTGTATGCAAAATGAGGCATTAATGGGGGATAAGCCGGAAAATGTGAAATATGAACGATACGAAGTGTGGAAATAAGCTGGCGAAAGGAATATGCTTGAAGGAATGGTTCCTAGAATAGATTTTAATAATGGTACCTTAATTATGTTTAAACTAAAGATGCCCTGAAAATGGAAGTTAAACTATTGCTATTCCCTTGACCGTTTTAATTTAGCTTTTTTCCGTAAGCCTCAAAAAATACTTTAAAATAAAAGAAGTTATGTAGAAGCTATGCGTAAATATTTAGAGAATAATTAGAGAAGATTACTTATTCTTAGGTAGATTCTACCCAAAAAAAACCCTAAAAACTTTCCCTTCTAAAATCACTTAGTTTCTCAAATTGCACCAAACTAGAATTTGCTATAAAATTCGTAAATCTGAAGTACCTATAAATATATGTATATATTTTCTCCAATAGGAAAATGTAAAGCCCAAATGGAAATCCACGGTAATGCAAAACTACATACATTTCTCGCTCAGTTCAGTTCAATGCGAATCAATTCAAAACTCATGTGGCCACCAATTAATTTAACTCGTGTACTTAGTTAGTGAGCACTTGACCTCTGGCACCCTACCATCCACACACACCCCCTATTTCACTTTCTCTATTGATCCACCCTACTATTAGCAACAATTATTTGCCATCTTTTGCTGTTCAAGAACAATTAATCAAGATAAATGTATACACTGCCCCCCGAAAGCCCAGCAAACCAACGACAAATCAAAATGATCTGGGTAAATCGACATCTATGGAATATCTATAGACTAGATAATATATTCATTAGCACACGCGCGAGGGGAGGAATCTGTCATTGGATTTATATTAATGAACACTTGGCACGCACATCATAAATCGCACACAAAGGAGGTTTGCGTTCTGAGGACTGAGAACTGAGGACTGGGGACTGAGGAAACCGAGAGGCGAGGACATCAAGGACATTAGTGGACGAACGTGCCTGGGTCCCATGTAAATAATTGCCCCGGGCATTCATCATACAGAAAAGCAGAAGAGCCAAGGATGCTACTCTTGATGGATTTCCCACTTCCGGGCTCCATTCAGAGCGCTTTAAGTTGATCCGCCGCAGCGGTCAAAGACATTCCATCCCCCTAAACATCATCTGCAATCCAAAGGGGGAATGGAGGTGGGGATGGTGGAATGCCCACTAAAACGTTTTGACGATTTCCGTGTCGAGGAATTTCGCTTTTAGTTGCCCATTTAGTCATCAGCAACTATTCAATTTAGCTTCGCAACAAAATCCCTGCTGGATAAGAAAGGGGAGGATGAGCCCTGTGCTCCAGATCCCTACAGCAATTCCCCCATTAAATGCTCGTTATGGCAGCAAGGCGTGCCAATCCCTGCCTCCTAACCCGGAGACCAAGAGGGCTAACCCCTTTACTTTTTGCTTATTCAGTCGGAAAGCAATCCGCTCGGACGTTAGCACCATTTGCAGGGATTGCAGGATCCTGGACTGGGCCTGCACTTTGCCTACACATTGTCCTGCTTCTGCCATTCCCAGCTCTTTTTTCCAACTTTTTGTCTCGCGCTCTTAAGCCAAAATGTCCAAAAGTGCTGGCCATTTCGGTGCGGCATGTGTGAATAATCGCCGGATGGCGAAAGCCTCGCAGCCAGTGATTCACGAAAGGAATGGGAGACCGGGCAATAGAACAAATGTACACACATGAAAAAATGCCATTCAAAATTATTAAAATAAACGATCGATTTGGATTTTTTTAAAATGTACCGCAATATACAATTGGCTACAAAAATGCCAGTCGATCAAAAAAGAGCATGCAGTTTTTCGCTTTGCGGTATTATATCAATATGCATTTAATTGCCTTCACATATCCCTAATGAAATGAAATCACCCAAAAATATATACACATTTTTATTCAAATCAGAAACCATTTATTTTACTCTGGCGTATACATATAGACCAAAAAATAAGAAGCCCAAAAGGCGAAAATACGTACGAGTATGTCTCCACTAATTTGTACAAATGCCGCGCTTTCAATAAATTTGCGGTCTCAAATTACCTGGACCACACTCACGGCTGTGCGGACTGTGGCTCCGACCCGGAATCTGGTCTGCGGTCTCGGGCATAGTTTAAATTTGCGGCCAGCTGCACAAACAAGGGCCAACCGGAAGCAGAAACCCCAGCTTAATTCATGCAAAAAGTCGCCGGCCACAAAACTAATTTGTCATGCGTTGGCCAAAGGTAGGAAACGCCCGTGGACGAGGACTTGGTCCGAATGGCAGGCTTTATGTCCTGTATACACCCACTCAGAATCCTCATTGGCAAGGCCAACTCAATTAAAATGCGCACAATTATGCGCCAAATGCCAAAGCCAGCAGAAACCGCACAGGAATGCACGTGTTTCGTTCATGCGAGATGCGAAATCGGGTATCTGCTACCTGCAGATACAAAACCTTAATGAAGTATCTACTACAAAGTTTACTGAAGGAAGTGCAGTTCCAAGTACTGACTACTTCATATAGTAATTCCTTTCTGTCTGTCTGAACCCAGCCTAACAAAGTTATTTTCATGATATTTCATGAAATTTTGATATAAAAAACCATCAACATTCCACCCAACAATCTGTCAAATATCCTGTAACACCCCTAATTTTAGTACTTTCTGTAATAAACCGCATAAACATGTTTCATCCGTTTAAAACAAAACTTTAAATGGTCCTAAAATGCTTGGCACTTAGTGTGCATCAAGTGCCGGACACATCAAAGCCATGGTGCTCAACTCTTTAGGCCAGCTCCAAGTCCTTCTTACACTTCCCTGAATTTCCCCAGACTAACATGCCGCACCATTACTTGCTATCGTTCCTGGCTAGCGGAATGTAACCAAAAATCACGTATACGTACAGTAGCCATTAAGTAATACGAGAGATGCTGCACTTTGGGTCCACTCCTTTACAGCAATTACCGTCCCTTTGCACTCAGCTCGACCCCACCCCGACCACCAGATCGCCCCTTTTGGCTACACTCGGCCTTTAACTTCACTCACTACACCGAAAACAACAAGCGCCACGTTTATGCGTCACACTGATCACCTTTGCAATGCTAAAACTTCTCTTAGATGATACTTGCCATTAAACAAAGTACACTTACGTAGGATCTACTGCTGTTGAACAAAAATTAGCAATTTAATACAATCTAGAAGGAGTTATTCACTGTGTAGCTAGTTAGTGCCACCCACATGGTGAAATCAACAAGCACCACCCACATTTGTCGCCGATCCACTCATTTCGCTCTCTCCTCACCCACTCTGTTCTCCTTCTCTTTCGCCCTGCTCTCTGTCTCGTTCTCGTTCTCCTCTTGTCTCTCGATGTCCTTTCGCTACCCGCAGGACTACGTGACCGTGTACGACGGCTACACCACACGTGACCCCATCATATTGAAGTTCTGCGGCGGTGGTCAGGCGGTGCCGGCGGCCGTTTCCAGCGGCCCGGAGCTTCTGGTTGAGTTCAGCACGTCGCCGTTTGGCACCTTTACCGGCACCTCGTCGCAGGTGCTGCCGCTCTACGGATTCCAGCTGGAGGTGAGTGGGTCACCAAATGGCAAGGCAGTAATCTGAGGAAAAGGCTTGACTTTGTTTTTCCCCTTTGCAGGTCGAGGTTCAATTCGTGGACATCCAGAGTCCCACGTACTCGAAGAACAAGAAACCCTGCGAGTTTTGGATTCGCGGTGCAGGTCGCGGCATCCTCGAGAGTCCCAAGCACTCGCTGGCTCCGAATTCCACATGCCTGTATCATCTGCAAGGACTGGGCGTCTTCAAGACCTTTGACCACCTGAGCTTGTCGCGCAGGACGAGCAGTCAGTCGGGGCTGCATCAACCGCTTTCCCGGTTCAAGGTTTGGATTTCCGTTCTGAAGTTCAACTTGGATCCGGAGTTTGGCCAGATAGATGAGACATCCGTGGGCGCCATTGGCGTGCTGCAGACGCAGGAGGATTGCAGTGGAATGCTGCGCATCTGGGATGGAACTCTAAGGGATGCACCCGTTTGCAAAGACCTAAACTGGTAGGTGATTCATCTAAGACACAAGGAAACCACAATAATTTTAACTTTTTAGCGCCACCGAGTCAAGTGGTTATAACACCCTGGGTCACTATATCCACAATTCCACCAGTGTGATTGCCAGATTCTGTCGGGGCACCATTCCACGCACCTGTGATCGCTCCAACATAAACGAGACCTACGCAAGACCCTGCACAATCTCCGAGAGCTATGTGTCCAGCAGCGATGCCATCACGCTCGAACTGCGCAACACTGAATCCACTGTATTAAGGTGGGTTTTCTCTTGAAGTACTAGTCGGAATCCGTAGTAACCCCCTCTTTTAGGCCACTGGATTTCAAGCTGAAGTACGAGTTCATTGATTTGCATCAGGATGGATTGCCTTGGGGTGGTGGGGAACACGACTGCAACCGTAAGTTTCTAAGCAGCATGATGGATCGCAAGGATCCTGCCATCTTCCGCAGTGTGCGCAACATATTCCTATTTGGAAGAGGAGGCACTAGGAACCTGAAATGCATCTATAAATTCGAGGCCCAACGCGGCGAAAGGGTCAGAATAAAGATGAGGAAAGTTACTACCACCAACAGACCTTGCTATTCACGCGTGGATGAGGACATCAATCGATCCTTTTGCTATGGCGACACCAATGTCCGCGTGGAGGTAGCTTTAACCCACTTTGAACTTACCAATCTTACTTATTAATAACTTTACTTTAGATCTTTGAGCGACCCTACCACGATTCCATCTTACTTCATCGAGGCTGCATGTGCAACTCCTCCAACCAATCCCACCTGCCAGTGGAGTACACTTCTACAAGTCGCGATGTGGAGGTGCACTTCATCGCACAAAACATGACCACCTTGGACGACCCAGATACGGTTAACTTCGAGGGAATGTTCGAGTTTGTCAAGGCTCCAACAAGTTGCAAGGATGGACGCAGGAAGTTCGGACCAAGTGGCACTATAGATATGACCTTTGGAGACGTATGTAGATCCATAAACTTTGGGAGACACAATTCATATTCTTAATTGTATCAGGTGGAGTGCCGCTCAAGACCCTGGCTGATCGAGCCTTCCAATGGCAATAAGTTTTTATACGTCCGACTGAAGGCCATATTCTTGAGTAAACACAATCCCATGCAGACACTGAACGCGACATATGTTCAGACAGATTCCTGGAGATGTGAGACCAAGTCTAGGGCTGTGCTGACCACGTCAGAGGGTAGGGTACAATGTGTTCCATTATTGTTCCACGTTTACAATTCTTAAATCCATTAGGTCTAACCATTGTGGCTTGTCCGCTGAGTCCCGACTCGAATGCCTACGAATTTGTGGAGATATTTAGCTCCGGTTGGAATGAAAGGCCCAATTTTGCTCTTGTCAATCGATCCCGAGCCATTAGCGTCGAGTTCCTGCGTCCTGGCAACGGGGAGTACTCGTTCAATTGGATGGAACTGATTCCCAGGCCCACGCTTAGCATAGCGGGTAAGCTTAACAGACGATCCTGGTTCAAATGGTGTTGTAATTGATCCACTCTCGCAGAGGACTGCCAGTTTAAGTGTGCCGAACTGGGTGCCTGTGTAAATGCCAGTGTCTGGTGTGATGGCGTAGTTCATTGTCCTTCTGGGGACGATGAGACCTTCCTGCAGTGTTCGGCCTTGATGAAACTGCCCGCCGAGATCCTGGCCACGCTCTGCCTGATCTTTGTGCTCTCGTGTTGTGCTTTCGCTGCCTTTGCCTACAAGTATGTGATCTATTACAGTGCATGTCGACTAGTTCGCTAATTTTTTACTTTACCACATTCGAAACAGGAAAATCAAACGCAAGCTGCGCGGCTCCTCGGTGCTGCAGACGCGACTCAAATCGCTGAGCTCGATGGACACGGCCGTTTTGGATGAAAAGGAGGTGATTTGCTGACAAAGCGACAATTCTGTACGTTACGTGGAGATCGATCGTGTCACCACGGTCTGATGCTCGACGGCCAGTAACGTGCAGAATTGTGCCCCGGAACAGAAACAAGTATCGCCACCACAAGTCAACCAAGAAACAGAAACCACAATTTCAACTGACGCGAATGCGAAACGCAACAATGAAACGATAAAAAGAGAAGAAAAGGCAAATCTTTTTCAATATCAAAACCAAACAACCAGAATCAAAATCGTTCACCTGTTTTTTAAACTGCATTTATACGAAAGCGTATCTGCTACAGATCGCAGATCGCAGGATTTTGTTGATTCTATTTGTATTAATATCTATTTTATAGATCGAAAGACTCAGATGACCCGTGTTCTCCTGGTTTTTAGTGTCGCGCAATTTTATAAGCAATTTTCTAGGGCTAGGATTTTTCGTATGTATTTTCGATATGATTTCCCAAACTTGACCCACAAAAAACAACACACTGTACATACTAACGATTGCGTAGCACAGGACGACGAGGACCAGAAATCGGACAGATATGACCAGTTATAACTTCCACTATGTTCGTGTCTTTGGTTCTTACAGAGTACTCATAAACCTATGTAGATACAACTGTTTCCTAATAGCCTTTAAGTGTATCGTACTATGCTAGTCGAAACCGACAAATGATGATCATGGAAACGAGTTTAGATGGGGAAGAGTTAGTTTTTTTGGGGAATGTTTGAGAAACTCACACAGCATTTATTATGCGGCGCACAAAACAAAAAGTAATGAAATTAAATACAAAAAAATAGTAAAAATCCAAGGGAGTACGCTGATGGAAGGGAGATGATTAATCGACCACTCCCAGAGTAGATCGTAAGTGGAACATGTTTTACATTTTAAGATTGATGGATGCATCGTAAACGTAATTTAGTCGCCAGAGGGACGCAGTGGTTAGTCGAATATGTCAATATACATAGAAGCTAGATGAATTCGTTAGTTGTTTAATAGACGTTGTAGTGATCATGGATAATATCAGCATAATCAAAGCTAAATCAAGCCAACAATTTATAGGTATCTCGTCGTATTCAAAGTACTCCAAAAACCCAGTCGAATCGAAGTCATTCAGAACTCACGCCCATTGTTGTTAATGTTGTTGTCTCCAAAGTGCACAGTTCGCTTCATGCCACATCATCTAGCGCCTGCTCCCTCACCACCAAAACCAAACCAAACCAAATCAGATCAGTTCAAAATCAAAATCAAACCAATCTTTGCATGGTTATCCTCGTATGTTGGCTCTGGGCTCAATGGCAGCTGACTTAATCGAATCCTTTTCTATTTTGTATTCTCTCTTTGAACATCCCTTTTGTGTCGAAGAAAAAACCCGTCGTTGAAACCAAGATCTAAGGCTCGGGGATCAAAGCAATGCAAAATGCCCGGCCTGGCAAAAAGGAGGGAGCAGGGATCAGGGACTCGGAAAATACAACACAGCAGAGTGTGAATCAGTCGAAATGATATTTTTGTTGAAACTCTTCTTCCTCTTTAAGAACTGTAAATAAAACAAATAGAAGCTGTATGATATTAACAATTTTATACTGAGTGTTTTATTTTCCATTTTGCTGTACTACTCAGTTGCACTCTCATAGTGAATATGTTTTGATATTCGAATCAAACTCAGACAATAAACGTTCAAATCTATTTTATAACTCGGTGGTAACTTATTTTCATTACTATAGCGAACAAGATTACAGGAGGTGCATAACTTTTGGATTCTCCAGATCACTTGGTCTGCGAAGTCCTGCAGCTGATTAAATGCAAGCATAAAGAAATATGTTAAACTAAAGTGAAGCTCAACTACTGAACTAATTAAAATAAATATTAAAAACTTAAACAAGTTATTAGCGAAACTGCCCAAATGAAAACATTTCTGTCGTAACATAGATTTAAAAGCGCTGATCTTGAAACCGAACTGAAACCGGATGATTATCGCTGGCAGAGTAGATTTTTAAATTTTAAATTAGTTTAAAGTAAAGCGTAATTAAACGGAACACGGTAAACCAGCATGACTAAATAATTCGAATGTTGAACAAAAAAATCATATCAGATTCTAAAATGATATTAAAATTAAATGGAAAACTGAACAACTTAATAAACAAGCATTTAAATCCCCAAAACAAACAGCATGAGAACATTATTTTATACAAAACTCTTTACAGCGCATTGGACACGCCCATATACAACAAATGGAATTGTAAATAAATACATGTGACATAAAAATAAAAACCCAAAATAATCAATAAAAAAATGGGAAGTAAATCAAATCAACGCTTACCCTTAATCAACCAACTTAAAATGTTATAATTTTAATCCTTTAAATACGTGGGGAACTGAGTATCTTCAGAGGGAGGAGCTGGTATGGTAACGCCACCCGTATCCAAAGCTGGTTCATGGGGTAATGAATCAACGCTCTCCAACGGCATAAAACAGTCAACTGATATCTGCAAAAAAATTTAAACTAAGCCAAAAGTTGAAAGAGTAGATGAGAAGACTCACCTCCCCGTTCTTGTCGCCCACTTTACGAGGATACTTGAATCCAGCGGCACGTGCATCCATAGAATCCTCACAATTTGTGATCAAGCCCTGTCGATGGTCCTGTTTGTGGGCTTGTAGTCGCTCTGCATTAATGGAGCTGAAGCTGCAAATATCACAGCATAAGTCCCGATAGGCTTCTGCATGATTGAGTCGCATGTGCCGCTTGAGAGCATTGGCTTGAATACAGAAGTACTCGCATTGACTACACTTTAGGCTGCTCCTTGTGTCTTGGCTATCATGACGCTGCCGATGCTTGTGCAGGACACTGGGATCGCGAGTGGAGAACTTACATTCCCCACACTGCAGAGGCTTTTCGCCGGTGTGCTGACGCATGTGAATCTGGGAAGACAATTAGGAGACAGACGGCTAATTTCTATTTAAACTGAACTTACTATTAAGCTAGCCTTCCTGGCCGTCTTTTTGCCACAAACATTGCAGATAAATGGCTTGATTTTGTTGTGAACAGTCTTCACGTGTTTGGAGAGAGTTTTGCCATTAACGAACTTGCGATTGCAAATCTCGCAGGTCTTCTCGGCATAGTATTTGTTCCTCTTTGAAGCTGGCGACTGAGCAGCAGGTTGCGCGGTAACATCCGCGGACTGTTCCCTTAGCTTCCTTCTTCGCTGAACGGCTGCCAGTGAGCGGAGCACCCTGGGTCGCCACTTTTTGTGAACCTGCATGTGGCGCCACACGAGAGCGGATATGGGCGACTTGTAGTTGCATTCGTTGACGGGACACTCCAGTAGATCCACATCCACCTGGTGGGTTTTCCACAGGTGAGCCGAGCACCGCCGCCAGTTGGGCAGTTCCATTCCACATTCGCAACAGGAAAAGGTGCCGCCCTTGTGGCAACTGGAGTGGAGGTTCATTTTGGCAGCATCTTGGAACTTGAAGGGACATTCCTTCCCAAAGGAGCACCTTTAACGAACCTTTTTGTCAGAAGCTTTTCGTGATAATATGGGCATACTTACGGTTCTAACATGTTGGCCCTTAACACTAGTCGAAAGTCCTTGAAAGGCATGGGCTGCAGTTCGCTTGGCGGAGGTTCAAAGTCCTCCGATTGCTCCACAATGGTTTGTTTATCCCGGTTGATCCTGCCGGCTGCAGGTTGTTCCGCAGTTGAAATCTTCGCAGTTTTGTTTTTGACACTGGGCACCGGAATGGGCTCATAGCCATGAAAGTATACGAGATGTCCTCGAAGATCCTCCTGGAGATCATATTGACGAAGGCACAGACAGCACACATATACGATACGAGCAGAATTATCCATTTTATATTAGTTACATTTTGTTTTATGATATTGATCAACAGCAATTCATTACATAGCAACAAAGTGCTATCGATAATAAGGAGGACTATCGCGGGTGTATATCGAAATTTAAATAAGTTGCTTTAGAACAATTTTTTTAAATTGTATAATCTAAATAATAAACATGGCATTACGCTTGTTTCTTGTTTTATAAAACCAATTTGTTTCAAACGCCAAATTTTCGAATTAAAGTGCACATAAAATCAACAAGTGGCATAGTTCTTCAATTTGTACGCCTGTTCTAAATTTTCCAGCTGAGTATTAGTGCTAAAAGTTATAGATGGCGTGACATTGCAAAAGCCAGTGTACAACAACGCAGACTTTAGTCCAAATTAAATCGATAGTCCTAAGCTGAAAGAAATCGACAGACCGAATATTCATCGTTTTTAGTCCCAGCTCTATTTAGTCGGCAGTCATTTGTTATTTCGCGAAATTATTGTTCGCAATTTTGCAAGTTAATAGGCCAAAAAGTAGTCTCGGAGTTACCTAAAATGGGCAGCGCGCTGGAAAACTATGTGAATCAAGTGCGCACACTGAGTGCGTCAAGTAAGTTGCCCGACCGGCGGACCCCGATCCCCAAGAAACCGGAATCGTTGCCGCCTTTGTTTTGATATTAAAGCTATTCACAACTGACTTTGCTGTCCGGATCTTCATCACAGGAAGCTATCGGGAGCTGGCCGAGGAGCTGCCGAAGTCACTCTCCCTGCTAGCCCGCAACTGGAGCATCCTGGACAACGTGCTGGAGACTCTAGACATGCAGCAGCACTCATTGGGCGTGCTCTATGTGCTCCTGGCCAAGCTGCACAGTGCGTCCACCGCGAATCCCGAGCCGGTGCAACTCATCCAGCTGATGCGGGACTTTGTGCAGCGCAACAATAACGAGCAGCTGCGCCTTGCGGTGTGCGCTTGTGAGACATGAATCTTCCATTCCAAAAGTAACCAACAACTAATCACATATCCCACAGTCTACGAAACATGCCATTTGTTCACCGAGTTTGTGGTCCAAAAGAACCTTAGCATCCTGGGCGTCCGCATCCTTTCGCGCGCCATCGACCAGATTCGACTGTTAGACACCCAACTAACTCCCATACACGCTGATCTCTGCCTGCTCAGCCTGAAGGCGAAAAACTTCAGTGTGGTGCTGCCGTATCTGGACGCGGACATCACGGACATCTCCACCGTAGCAGCCGAGTGCAAGACGCAGCAGCAGCAGCAGTCCCAGCACGCGGTATTCATGGTTGAAAATTCACTTCTGGACTATGCGAACTCATAGTTTCCGTTTTTAGGATGCCAACAATGATGCCAAGTACTTCTTGCTGTACTTCTACTACGGCGGCATGATCTACACGGCGGTGAAGAACTACGAGCGAGCTTTGTACTTCTTCGAGGTCTGCATCACCACTCCGGCAATGGCCATGTCTTACATCATGCTGGAGGCCTACAAAAAGTTTCTGATGGTTTCACTTATCGTCGAGGGCAAGGTGAGTTTGCCAACAATTATTTACTTTCATATATTAGTCTCTTAATCTGGAAATCTTATTTCGGTTGCAGATAGCGTATATACCAAAAAACACACAGGTTATTGGCCGTTTTATGAAGCCGATGGCCAATTACTACCACGATCTGGTCAATGTGTACGCGAATTCCTCTAGCGAAGAGCTGCGCATCATCATACTCAAGTACAGTGAAGCATTTACGCGTGATAACAATATGGGACTGGCCAAGCAGGCAAGTATTTCAGACTCTTTTTTTTTTTGTTTGTATTTAACTTGTATTTTCTTGTTTCCGTATATAAGGAGGTCAATAAGAAACAGCAATATTAAAAAAATAAAAACACATGAAAACAAATATAGGCCTCCTCAAGGTGGAACAGTACAAATCGAACTTTTAATTTCTCACCGTTCCAAATTAAAAAATATATATATATATATAAATTTAAATTTATGCGGAAGTTTATCGAAAGAAAATGCCTAAAATAAAATTAGTTCTGGTTCAACTGATATTAAATGAAGGCTTTGCTTTATTCTAAGCAACACAGATTTTTAAAAAGATTATTGGCACAACCATCTAACAATGAAATTTCAATATTGTGCATCCTTTAGGTAGCCACCTCCTTGTACAAGCGAAACATCCAGCGGCTAACTAAAACCTTCTTGACCCTTTCCCTGAGCGATGTGGCCAGTCGTGTCCAACTGTCCAGCGCAGTCGAAGCCGAGCGTTACATTCTCAACATGGTAAGGAATTGTCTTGTTCGATTATTCTATTTATTCCAATCTTATACTTCATTGCAGATCAAATCGGGTGAAATTTATGCCAGCATCAATCAAAAGGACGGTATGGTGTTGTTTAAAGACGACCCAGAGAAATATAACTCACCGGAGATGTTCCTCAACGTGCAAAACAATATAACACATGTTCTGGATCAAGTTAGGCAGATCAACAAAATGGAGGAGGATATCATATTAAATCCAATGGTAGGTTTTGAAACTATTGTAAGGTTATTAGTTACGGACTATATGTTACTTGTTAAAATCCAATTTGTAGTATGTGAAAAAGGCTCTTGGCAGCCAGGATGATGACCTAACGTCGCAGCACCCAAAGACTTTCTCGGGGTGAGATTTTGAATATAAACGCAGCCGGAATTGTTACATTACATATTTCCTCTTTTACAGTGATCCCACAGATTGATGATGCCACTGCCGCAGAACCACCAGCAGCCCGCTGCTATCATTTCTACGCTCATCAAATCACCAAGCCCGTTTACCAGATCTTGTCGAAGCCACGAGGCCCTGGGCCGGAAAGCTGACGACTCATGCAGTCCGTACTCATTCAGCTACCACAACAAGAAACTGCGCTCTTATTGCAAATTTAAAGATGAACATGCTATTTTAAATAAACTATGTATAAATCTATGACTAAGTCAGGGATTCCTTATCACGCCTTTGATTGACTCACAAATTATATGTCTCGATAATGCAACGATAAGGTTGTTGTGCCTTTTCTACGCATTGATCAGGCGACGTTTAACTGCCCGGACGGAACGGTTAAGTGCTTTGTACTTGCCCCCAATCTACGTTAATTGCATTTGTTATCGTTTACATTATTTTATTTACAATATCAATGTACATGTAACCTAACATTAGGGCGAAACGAACAATTAATTGACTAGAGGACCAGCGCGTTTAATGTAGTTAATTTCTACTCGTAAGCCTAGTTTCGTGTATTTACGTCTAATTGTTTTATGTTAATATATCAAGAGGCGTCTAGGTTTTGTGGTTCGTGCGTGACGGTGGCTAGCAGTTGTCGTTCCTCGTACATCGCTCCAATCGCCGAATTAAAACCGGAGCTCCGACTTCGGAATGAGATTTAAGATTCTCGCGCCTCTCGTAGCCAGCTGCGCTGCACCCATCCTAACCGGTTTTCATGGCGTCTAGCTCCATAATGGAGGTCTTCAGCTGCTGTGCCGGGGAAACCAGACCCGATGATACCTCGCCGTTGAGACTGCGATGCAGCTTGTGGACCACATTGACCAGTATGAAGCACACAATGAGCACCAGTAGCGACATAAAGACGTAGGCCAAGACCAGCGGTGCGTCCGAAATGGGATCCAGCATGGCGATCGGTTTTTGGATACAGATGTATATATACCGAAAGTATGCGTCTTGAAAATTTGTTGTGACTTTGTACTCGTTTCCCCGTAAAGAAATGTGAAAGAGTATAGTCCAGACAGCTCAGGTTCAGGTAAAGAGACGGGTCGCAACGCGTATGTTAATTAGCCACTTGAGCATATATAGCATGTATATGATATTCTGGAATTGTGACCGCGTCGGCGTTTCGTGTGTATGTCGCTTGACACCTGCCCGAGAACTGAAACGAGCCGAGAGCGTTAAATGAATGGAACTTTGCTTGGCATTACGTATACGCTTCGTTGCCAGACTGTTGTCGCTGTAGATGTTGCTATACGTTGTGCGTCCAGTTTTGACTTTGTTTTTGTTTTGATAGGCCTCTTGTGCAATACAATCGTTAATTTGTGCCAAGATTAAAAAGCCTCCAGTTTTTGGAGTTCCTATCGACTGAGAGCCGCTCTTTACATCTGGCAACTTTTCGGGAACCAGCTTTATTTATAACTCATGCAGGAATTCCAGTCGCATTCATATTCGCCTCGCAATCAAATCAACAACGCTGTCTTCTTAATTGGCCGCCTCAATAAAGAATGAAATGGCGTCAAACAAATGCTTGGGGTTCCAGTATCGTGGAGGTGGCGCGATCTGTTTGGGGCCTAGTCATTTCGGCAATTAGGCATGATAGCTGGTCTGGAAGAATTTTCAAGTACTGATAAGGCATAGTCAGAATGATAAGCGCCGAAAAACGCGGACCCCACAAGTTCAGTTTGCGTGCCATGGGAGTAGGAAAAATTAATGGCGTTTCTTAGCTAAAATTGGAAATCAAACTTGGGTCGTACGTCAAAGTATCACCTTACCCAATTCCCCAGTCCGCATTTTATTTTAAGCACCATAAATTATAATGTAACGTGACAAACTGTTTGTGGCAGATTAACTAACAAGCTGTAAACTTCTGATTTGTTCGACGCTTAAAAAATTCAAAGAATGTTTCTTTTCTTCAATAAGTCATTAAATGCGTAGTTCAGTGCATGCAGAACGAATGGAAAATTAAAATTGATATTGAATGCATTAATAAGAAAAATAGGCTGAAAATTTGAATTTCCTGCTGTAGTAGCTGGTAAATACTTAAACCCAGAAAACAAAATAGAAATAAAAATTAACACTGCCCTGAAAAGTGGCGCCTACACCTCTACTCGACCATACATGTGCACGCCCCTGTTCCGCTGGCTTTCACCTTCGTTGTCACGCGATTATCGTAAACTAGCGTGGGCTCAGTCCCACAGTCCCCGACCCACTGAACCACCCGTCGACCCTGTAGCCTCCAGCTCATTGATCTTTGAATGGAATTTAATAAAACAAGTTATACCGCAAAAGCTGGCTAGAACAGCGGACGCATGCCCCTATCCAATGGCCACACCCTTTAATCCGGTATCCGGGAGTTCCGTCGTGAGGAGCCAGGTCGGCAGGCGGCGGCGTTATCCGTGCACCGGGCATCCTGGTTATCCTTGGCCTCCTGAATCACGTCGTCGAGGGTCAACTGTGTCCGACTATCAGGCCTCGCGTCCGGCCGCCTTTGGGTGCACTTGAGCATGACTTTGAGGCGCGGGATCTTGGAGAGGTGGTCATAGAACCGCACTATGTGTAAGGACCCAGGCCTCGGTTCTGCGGCAGCACACACGGGCTGATCCCGGCAGTTGCACAAGAAACTGATGGCCTTTCGGCTGGAGCTCACATCGAACTCGGCGCTGACCAGATAGCAAGGCTCCAGGGAGAGAACTATACGCAGGACTAGAGAAAGAGAGTAGGCCGAGCAACTGTCTCACTGGCACTGAGCTTACCCGAAGAGGTCTCCAAGATCTGGGACCTGTTCTGAATCCAAACGGAGCGTAAGCTCGGCTGGTTGGAGCGTGGACTGCGGAGCGAGGTGTCCAGGTATTCCCGTATGGTCATCGCATGATTGGAGTGACGCAGACCCAGGAGCTGTTGGCGTGAGTTGCCGGGCAAAGCGGCCAGAGGCAGGTTGTCGTAGACGGATACATAGATCTTGTGGCTTATATAGACCACCACGAAGCACAGGATGACGATTAGCAGTCCGATGAGCAGGTAAGTGAATAGTGTGGGTATAAAGAAGATGGCGTCCAGAAACATGGGGTCGCTGATCCGAAAGTGCTAGCTCACTGACAGGATACGCAAATCTACAGAGAGGGTTACGGGAATCCATGGGCGGAGCTTCGATTCTCTTGATTTTTGCAACATCTATGTAAATGTATTTATTTCGTAGTTTCTGTATTTTTTTTGTTTATTTTTTGTTGTTTGTTTTGTTGTCAATTTTTTTTAATGGATTTCTGCCTTGTTTTTTTACATACGATTTTACATTGATAATATTATGCTTGTAATTTAATTGTATTCCTCTCGATCTCCATGCCTCCACTGCCTGCACTTCGGCCTAAAGTTGATTTTTGCGTGCACTCCTAAGCTTTTGCCATTTCCTTTCTTTCTAACCCGCCGGCGGGTTCCATCTACACCCAAATGGGCGTGGTCTGCACACGGCGCAGACCCCTTACAAATGTTCTAGGCTCAACCTTTTGCATTTTGCTCATTTTCTAACAGTGTGTCACAGCTGAAATATCAGCACAGATATTTTCGTTTTAAACTTCTGGCTTTTCTGTAAAACTGTCAAAATTTTAGCTTTATCTCTGCATGTGTGCATTTCAAAATCGCATTATTGAGTTATGATTTTCTGTTTGAGAGTGAGTGGATGAGTGTATGAGTGTGTGCGTGTGTGCGTGTGATGTAGCAACAGCTGTAGATAATGTTTCATGATCATCGAGCAGATATAAGCTTTATAAATATATACACACAAATCGTTTTGTTGGCTGCGTTTTTTTCTGAGTGTTGTAAATGCAACTTCTCGTTTGGGTAATATTCATTAGTTCACACAGATACACACGCACACTCACCCAACACACACGCAAACCCATACTCTGCGACTTAAATTGTTGTAAAGTTATCTTCTCGTTAGCTGGCAGTTGTTGGAAATGCCTAGTACATTAGTTTTGTAATTTTAGGGATATTCCAAGAAATATGTATAATCAATCAATTATAATTTCAAATTTTTAACTATCATTACTTGATCAAAATTATTGTACCGGTTTTTTAAAAGCCCAAAACTCCAAAAATTACAGTCTTACAATACAAGAAAATAAAAGAATTTTCTAAACATGACATATGTACAACTTTTGAAGAACGGAAATACCTCTTTGATAACAGTTTAACCTAGGCATTCGCTGTGCTCAAGCTTAAATTAGTTATTTAAAAATCATAAAACTATGTTAAGATTACGAAACACCTTTCGATGAAGAAACAAGAAACATGTGGGAAAATCATGAATTTTTCACTGATTTTAATATTTAATTAAAAAGTTAACGGCTCGCTGACTTCGTGTGCTAAGCGTTTACTTTTGAAAATAATTTACTAAAATTAAAATTACGATGGTTCATAATTGCTGCCGTTGTGTGTTTGCTACAACGAATCATATAAGCGAAATACAATTGTTTCATTCATGTCCTATTATTTCCATGACTTCATTCCTCGTATGAGAGTGTATGAGTTCGTGTGTCTGTGTTTTGTGCCTGTGTGTGTGTTTCATTTTCGTATGATTTAAGTTATTACACACATATTCATCTTGTTTATTTCTTTTTTAAAAAACATTCAGATGTCTGTTGGATATTTAATGAAACGTTTTGAGGAGGCAACATGTCCCATAGATTATACAAATGGGCTTTCTTTTCTAAATAGCCGAAGAACTTGAAAGAAGTTAAGAGAATTAAATAGATGAATACGGGGAAAGCTGTCTCCGATATTGGGGGTTGCGGAGTGTGGAACTTCCCGCCGCAACCTTGCACAGAGACACACACATACACTATTATATAACTTCAGCACAACATACAGAATTGGATAATTAATATTTGTTGGCCCTCAGCTCCCGTGCACTCTGAATCTCCGAAAGAGTTGAGAATCCAATGGCTCTGTGACAATTAATTTTACACACTTATATAGTTTACGACTTCATGTTTATGCTGCTGAGCGTTTGTTTTTGTTCTCTATTTATGTATCCAACTATTTCCCATCGACTTCATGTTGGTTTTCCACGTTCGCTGCGTTGTTGTTTCTGTTTGTTTTGTCGGTTGTTGTTGCTTTCTTTGCTGCTGCTGCTCTTTGTTGTTGATTTGTTGTAGTGGTTGTTGTCGTTGCTGCGGCCTTAAACGGACAACGATACGAAACTGTTGTACTGCGTGATGTTGCGTTTGAGTATGTCGGCGCAGGGTCCCAAAACGCGTTCAAATCTGCGACAGAACCAAAAATGTAAGGTCATTAACATACACCCATCTATTTGTCTAGCACTCTAGCCACCGCCCTTACCTCGCCCGGTCCAGTTTGACGCACTTGAGCGGCCCGCGAGCCACAACAGTCGCCGCACGGGGTCGGTCCAAAAGCAAAGCAATCTCGCCAAAGTAATCGCTGCTACCCAAACGGCCCACCTCGGCGGGATCCTCGCCCTGCTGATTAGATAAACCATTTGATTAGAGAGACTCTTTTCAGGTGTCCCAAATCTGATCACGGTCACTCACCTCAGAACGCTGCTGCAGCACCACCGCACAGCCCTCGAGGATGATGTAGAAATCATCGCCAGCGGCTCCCTGCTTGACAATCGTCTCACCGTCATCGAAGGAGCACGTCTCCAGAGAATCGGCCACTGTGAGGCGCTCCCATTTGTCCAGGCTCTCCAGAATTGACACGCGCGACAAGAACTCCTCATACATCTTGCGCTTGCGGATGGTCGAGCCCATCAGGATGCGGCGGTAGGAGTCGCGGTCGATGCCCCACAGCTTCACATCGGTTTTGGCGCGCACGGTGGCGGCGCGAGGAGTGCCATAGATGAGGGCCAGTTCACCAAAGCTCCCGCCCTCGCTGATGGTGGTCACCAGTTCGGAGTTGACGAAAACCTAGGCGAGATAGTAACATGTTGATAATGATTCAAGACGAAATCAAAGATCATAAAAAGCCATTTCATATACATACATCGACCTCTCCCACATCAATCACGTAAAAGTTGTCGCCTTCATCGCCCTGCTGGATGATATTCTCGCCGGCAATGTGATTCACAGGGAACATGGCATCAAATATATCGGATCGCTCGCTCTCATCCAAGTGGGCAAACAGGACGTTCTTGGCAATCGCCTTGGACAGGGCATTCATCGTCTTGTAGTCCTTGGGTACCACCTTCTTAACATAGTTGGTGGCATCCTCTTCGGTTACGGGTTCGGCGGAGATTCCACCTCGCCTGCGAACCGGCGGAGCTGCTGTCTGTGGCATCGGGCTGAGATCTTCGCAGTCGTCGGGGCTGATTACCTGTCTACTGGCATCCAGTTTGACTTGTTCCTGCCAAAGATAAAAATAATAATATCATGAGAATTTTGGGTTTGGTTTACTGCACACAAGTCTCGATTCATTATCATATTGGGTGAACATTCTTATCAGATTCTTAATAAAGATAAAGGCCATGCTGGGAATGTTGCACGATTTTGCATAGTTTCTGGCCAGTTTTAAGTTAAATATTAGTATAAAGACGGGCTTAGTGATATGTTCTATACATCAAAGCGCAGGTCTAAACTTCTTGCCGAACAAAAAAGTTCGATAGTTTTCTGAAACTCTCTCACTTTATGGAACATCGGTGGTGCAAACTTAATTATCTGCTGCAGTCACTGCCCAAGTGCGTCTGCGATTAAATGCCAGATTAATGTGCGTCACTCTCGATGGATGTATGATAACTGCAACCAGTGGTTGTTCTCTGCAGCATTGTGCATATAGTCCGGAGACGCGCCCGGAAAAGCTCCACCCGCCCACATCCGTAACTCATAAGCTCCATCACTGCGTGGGCAGTCAAAAGAGCCAACCGGGGGAGCTGAAGAGCTTTACATCCTGACTCTTGCTGCGCATTCCGGTGTCCCGAGTCGCGAGTCCCTGTCCCTAAACAAATTTCCAAAGTGCACCCAAAGCTGCAAGGTCCGGCTGTCCAATTGCAGTCCGTTTCCCGCAGTGACGTCAAACCAGTCAAGCAGAAATGGCCAGCTGGCCAAAGATGCTGATTAAGTTGCATTAAATTGTCACTCACTTGTGACTGCAAGTGGCCGCCCCTGGCAGTTATGGCTGCATTTGAAATGCGTTTGGATCCTAGGCCTTTAGGGGTCCTATAAATAGGCTAGTCCATTGCAATTTATTACACGAACAGATGGTATTTTTGTTAGCCAAAGCAGGCATTATATGGATTAAATGTGACATTAAAGATCAGAGCTCAAAGCTGTATGGCATTGAGAATTGGTAAATAGGGCTATTTTATAAAATGGTTCGCTAACAAATTCAATACAACATTTATTATTTATTTTGTTCTAAATCAACGACCATTTCCATTTAATAACATCCCAATAATTCTGTTCCGCCTAATCCTAAAAATATTTTCGCAAAAATCAACATGTTTCCTAGACACATCTAGGCATTTAACATCCAAGTAATTGCACTTGATTTGATTTCCCCATCCGACCGCAACCTCTTGAACGAAATGCTTTTACGCCGTCCATAAACATTGTCGGGACCCACGAAAAACTTCAAATGAAAGACGCTGCTCATAAATTTTTATTGTCTAAACAAACCAAGTACGCATGAATAGTATAAACAAAAATATGAAAACTAAAAACGGAGAATCGCAATTAATAGGTGAGCTAAGCAATTTGCAGGCGATCATGGATTGTAGGTGACGATAACGAACTACTCAACGAATTCCCCGGCCAAACCGAATGTCGTCTCCATAAATTGACGAATGTCTTGGGTGGCTGCCAGTCAGCTGAAGGAACCTGAAGTCAGGTGTCAAAACAGAAGATAATCGAGTGCTGCCGCCCAAAAGCATCAACGATTGGCATACAAATGCCTTTTAATAAGGCGGAGCAAAGCCTTTTTTTTTGCCTCTAAAAACTATAAGTAATACTTAAAAACTACAAACTACCATAATGGTTTAATAAAGGTACTCAAATCAAAATGAGTATGTTTAGTTAGTTACTATCGCTTCCTATTTCCTTAGTAATAGCTTTCTATTTACTAAACTCATTATGTGTAGTTCTAGGTGACTTTACCAAAAATTATACTGCAACATAGTAAACTAACCGAATAATTGAATGAATTATTCGCAACGCCCCAAAGTGCAGCGCTGCCCAGTATGCAAATGGCTCACTCTAGTTTGTCATGCATTCAGCTTACTGGGTGGCAGTATCGAAACACTGCCCTCCCTTTTTGCATTCGCAATACTGCAACTTTGTTTATGGCCGTTTGGCCAGGGACAGCGCCCAGAACAGAGAACCGAGCGCCCAGAACCGACGGCCCACAGCAGAGAACCCGGCAACTGGAAGACGCGTGTGCCAGCGATATGACCGTGACCTTTGTGCAGACGCGGAGTCGGCGCCCAGTCGACTTGTAGCCCTGGCCCTGGCCATGGGGACGTGGCCATGAAGAACACCCAACAACAGCCCACAAGTCAACCCACTGTTCCACCCTTTGACCCTCCGATATTGCTCGCGATTTTCCCGGGGCGGAGCTGCGGTGCTTTCAGCTTTTGGCGTCGTTCCCTGTGACATATTAAACGGAAATCGATTTCGCAAATTGCAAATTGAATCCAATCCCCGCCCGGATGGGTTGACGTTGCGGTCTGGCCCCGCCTGATTGGATGGTGCTCGTTGATTTTCACGTACATAGGCTCTGACTTTAAAGTGGAGTCTTGTCACCAGTCAGCCTTATCAACCAGTTCGCTAATAAAACAGCAAACAACATTTATGGGACTCATGACAAATGCTGCTTTCGATTAGATGACGACCATTGTTGGGGAAAGGGTGGGGCGATGTGTGGAAGGGTGGGTCAAGATGCGACGAAGGTTGGGTAACAATGACTAATTACCACACATTTTCACCTGTTACCAAATCAAATATGTTTAATAATCTTGTAGGGCTGCCAACTAAGCTACAACAATCAAGAGAACACGCTCTAGTCGATTTCCCCCTCCTCTCTGCACAGAAATTTTAAATTTTCCAAAAAACATCAATAGAAAAGTATGAGCGTGACACTTTTGGGCGGTGTCATGTCAACACATGGCAAAGTTTTGAAACAAACTTTACAGCGTGAGCGTCACTAGAATCTGCATTAATCTTCCTTCTAGTTTTTTTAGTTCCCGAGATTACAACGTGCATACGGACGGACAGACGGTCAAAGTCGGATGGGAAACGATTTCTTTAACTGAATACTTTTTAACGAATCTAGTATACCCATTAACCGTGCGAGTACACAAATATGTTTAGCTTCAAATAGCAAAATAGTTGAAATGTAACTTTGTTCCACTGTGATCCCTTACTCAATTGATTACACAAGGGTTTGCAAATACAGCTTTCTGCCTTTAGAAGCAGCTCTTAGCTGGGGAAGATACCTTCAATAGTGGAAAAAAAGAAGGCGGATTACAACGGCGACAATGAAACACTGATGAGGCGGCAAATGGTCCACATGCTGTGAGGTAGGACCCAGAACCTATGCCGTCGTGCATCTCATACATGTATGGTACAATGGTTGCCGCTTGCAATTGTGGACATGGTGGTATTGTTGCATCCATGTGAGCATAAGTAAAGAGGAACGGAGGCGTCGACTTCTGAGGGGGACAGCCCACAGAAAAAATGCGAAAAGCTAAAGTGTAAAATGCATACAATTGTGCAACCAAATACGAAATGTTTGCCTCTATGAGGGTGTATTTTTTAATACTTTTGTTTTGTTATTTTCTGCTTGCATAGATGAATGAGCGCTTATTGAATACAAGTACAAACTAGACTTATGGTCTACAAACTATGACAGCCACTAACAGACTCATTTATTTATGGCAAACCTTAGGCATTCTGTTGTGCTTGTATACGCCTGTGTATTGGTGTTGGTGTTGGTGTTTGTGTCGGTGTGTGAGTGTACGTGTGTGAGTTTTGGTTCTTTAGTTATCCCTGTGTTGGTGCTTGTGCTACTTATGTGCAACAAATTGTGAAAACGCTTCGCTTCTAATATGGACACAGAGAAACAAACAACAAGCAGTAGTAGTAGATGTAGTATTTGGAAAACGCACGTCGCGACGTGGGATTTCAGTGGAAAATCTCGAAGATTTTCACTCTCGGATTTGTAATACCGCTGCTCTGCTGACAAGAAAGACAAAAGCGCGAAGAGCGGACAGAATTATACAGATATTACGTATACGCGGCGTGGACAGGCGAGCAAAAACAGCCGCCAGCAGCAATGACAAATCCAATGTCAAAGTTTTATAAAAATAAATATTCAAAAATGCTCCGAACAGCTCTGAAACAAATTTCTTTAAATTAAAAATACTTTTGGTTGGCCAAAAAGCGGACTTTTGAATAAGCAAACAAATTAAAGGAATGTAAGGAACAACAAAAAATAATCGGTCCTAATGGGTGTGCGGTTGGACTTCAAAATATTGTAAAATACTGAAACAGTTCAGAAATAATTTTCTTAAAATCTCAGAAAAAGCATTAAATTTGCTACATATTAAGTAACCCCCTCAAATTGCTTAATACAAAGAGTCAAAGTAGAAAACACAGCGTATGATTAGTATTGGAATTTTTTAGAATCTTTTTATCATATTTAATATACATAAACAAATTTATTATGTTTCATAGAACATAAAAATAAAAAACAAGCCCAGGCCTTGAAAATCAAATAATCAGTTTATGTTAAGATTGGTATCCCTTGCGTATATTTAATATTAGCGCGATTGGGGCTATTAAAAGAAACCGCCGCGAATTTAATTGGCATAAATGTGCGGGCATGGCAATAAAATATGAAATTATATAAAAAAGAAATCCTAAAAATATATCTATGAGATCGTGCGTCACTAGACCCCCGCGTTCCACACAGAAATATTTCATTTAATTTTTCCGCTACTATCCAATTTAATTTTTCCACTTTGTTCCTCCTTGCTGTGCTGACTGCGACTCTTGCTGTTTTTGCTGCTTTCCTGCCATTTGTAATTGCTTAATTAATTCGATTCTAGTTCATATGGTTCTCGTTTTTGTTTGTCTACCCGCTGTTTCCGTTTTAATTATTTAGTTGCTGTGAGCTCTTCTTGTTATTATTGCTCTTCGACTTGGCGAATGTCTTTTTTCGCGTATTTACAAAACGGAGGCGCGACACAAACTGAAAACTCAATTCGAAATTCGCGTTCAACTTGCGACAATCGACGTTGGCGGCGCAGTCGACGCTGTGCCGACGTCAGTAGCGGCAGCGGCTTCATCTTTTCACACTAGTTGCCTTCACATGTGTTTGTGAGTGTGTGTATTTGTATCTATGTGTGCTGG